AACACGTACAAACTCCAAAACACTTGCAAAATCCAAAACACTTGCAAAACCCAAAACACTTGCAAAATCCAAAACACTTGCAAAACCCAAAACACGTACAAACTCCAAAACACTTGCAAAACCCAAAACACGTACAAACTCCAAAACACTTGCAAAACCCAAAACACTTGCAACTAAAAAACACATGCAAATTCCAAAACACGTACAAATTCCAAAACACTTGCAAAATCCAAAACACGTACAAATTCCAAAACACTTGCAAAATCCAAAACACGTACAAATTCCAAAACACGTACAAATTCCAACACACGTACAAATTCCAAAACACGTACAAATTCCAAAACACGTACAAATTCCAACACACGTACAAATTCCAAAACACTTGCAAAATCCAAAACACTTGCAAAATCCAAAACACGTACAAATTCCAAAACACTTGCAAAATCCAAAACACGTACAAATTCCAAAACACTTGCAAAATCCAAAACACGTACAAATTCCAAAACACGTACAAATTCCAAAACACTTGCAAAATCCAAAACACTTGCAAAATCCAAAACACGTACAAACTCCAAAACACTTGCAAAATCCAAAACACGTACAAATTCCAAAACACGTACAAAATCCAAAACACGTACAAATTCCAAAACACGTACAAATTCCAAAACATGTACAAATTCCAAAACACTTGCAAAATCCAAAACACGTACAAATTCCAAAACACGTACAAATTCCAAAACACTTGCAAAATCCAAAACACTTGCAAACTAAAAAACACATGCAAATTCCAAAACACGTACAAATTCCAAAACACGTACAAATTCCAAAACACTTGCAAACTCAAAAACACATGCAAATTCCAAAACACAACGGAAGTGCTCCAGGACGCTAGGGGCAGTGTTGAGCTCGATTTGCAAAATAAACGGCAAGTTTGTCTGTATGGGACGGTCTAGTCTCCGTCGCGCTTCCCAGGTTGCCTAGCAACCGTGATACTAACCGCTGGAAACGTGTCATACAACTTGGTTTGACAGAAATGAGGGAGAACATATTTTGTTTGTTTGTTTGTTTCTACATGAGCTTTGTGTGATTTGATAAGTATCTGAGGCTGAGACCACAGGACAGTAAAACATGATTTTTGGGCTTCATTTCTGTACTGAACAGTTATTTAAGATTAGCTAGTAAATAAGAATTAGCTAATGTTGTTCATGAGACTAAAGTCATATCACTTTGGTAATGTAAATATAATATGGCCAATATTATAGTTATTATATTAATCATTATTAGCTATTACAGCAGTGAACATGAACTCTGTGTCAAATACTGAGCTTCAGTACAGATTCAAGTTGCATTTATTTATATGTCTTATCACCTTAAATCTTCACTCAAAGACAAGTATCTTTGACAGTGCATATATAGGTGTATCATATATAAGAGACAAATGTTGTTCCTTCATGTTGGCATTACTAAATTTGGCTCATTGCTTACATATATTTATAAAAAGAAAATGTACAAGCTGTGATAACTGTTTCTGATAAAATGAAGAGTAGACTGATATATGAAATATTCCTTTATTGGGTGAGAAAATCAGACCATGTCATAACTGCTTTAAGTCACACAGAATAGATATCAGAGCCTTAAACAGGCTGACTTCTGCTAAATGGGTCAAACTGGGCAGAAAGTCTACAAACACATAACATCCTTATAGAATATGATGTAACACTATAGATCAACTTAGCTCAGAATATATAAAGCATATAAACAGTTACAGCAATATGATGCAACAAACACAGCAGTGCTACTGATCCAAAATACTCAAAGCTTCATAGAACTGAAACAAACATTTATTTTTAGCTCCATTCTGCTGCTGATACATACTTTAGGTTTCTGAACATTAAACTTGTTGCTGCCTTTCATAGTGTGTAACTTGAAGGCCCTGAGTACTCTGAGTACTTTCTCCCACACTGGAAACACTGGGATGATAACATTATGTGAACATTACCTAATAAGACTGATTCAGCACAGACAGTTATGTTAAACTTTCCTAGCAGTCCTTCACAAACAGGGAACAGTCTGTCTATTCTCTCCATCTGTCAGCTGCTGCTGGCTCTTCCTCCTCCTCTTCCTCACACACTGCTGAGTTTGTCCTGGTGGATCATCAGGGGTGCAAAGCCTCACAGATGATGTGCAGCAGTGGGTCCCTCAGTCTGTCCTCACTCTGGACACTTGCAGTCGTCACACATGGAAATCAAATGTGTGATAAGCTGCAGGATTCAAACACAAGTGTAACTTATAAACACACGTTCATACTTTTATTCCACAATCAGAGAGAAAGAAACAGAGAGAGAGTGCAGGACAGACAGACAGGTGACAGTCTCAGGTGTACACACTGCTACACAACAGCACCAGAGAAGCAGGATTTAGTGTTTGTGTTATTACGAGTGTAAACAAGAAGAGTTCCAGATGGTGCAGTGGACACATGTGTGACTGCTGTGATTAAAGCATCTTTCTTTCAGCTTAACGAGTGAACCGTCAGCTCGTTCAAACACACGTTAAAGTCCGTTTGGCTCGACACCACCGAACAGAGGCAGCAATATAACACAGCTAACATTAACAGTGCAGTGGATCCTGCTGGTGCCGTGATGTTCAGGACTGCAAACCGAGCAGCATCACTGACTTTCAGCTTGTGTTTGTGGATATATGACTGACTTTAATTATCCACAAAATCATCACAATCTCTGTAAGATTAAGGTCGACTATATATATATTTATTAAAGTAAAGGCTTTAAAACCAAGTTAATTCTGAAAGTACAAACATCGCTAATGTCAACTTTCCCGACATGTGGCCAACAATAATGGTTTCATGTTCTTCATTAAAAAAACATTTGCGCATAAATAAGTGACATAATATTCAGTACTTACTTCTGAAAGTTTACTCTTCCTCCGCTCCGCTTCCACCGTTTTTTTTCGGCAAAATTATCCACAACACCACCGCACTATGAAGTCTGGGATATGTTGGGCCATGAAGGCTACACCGACCCATCCTTAAAATTCAGGGAAATTATGGACGCATTTCAGGGCCGCATTTCGGGCAGCCTTTGAATTGGGAAAGCCTTCTCTTGTCGCTGTGACGTAATCGGCCTTAAAATGCGGCCTTTAAGGCTGCAAACCCCAAATCCGGTCATTGGTACTTCCTGGCTTGTGTAGTTAGTAGGTAACAAAAGCTCAACACTGCCCCTAGCGTCCTGGAGCACTTCCGTTGTGTTTTGGAATTTGCATGTGTTTTTTAGTTTGCAAGTGTTTTGGAGTTTGTACGTGTTTTGGAGTTTGCAAGTGTTTTGGAGTTTGTACGTGCTTTGTCTCTAGGGGCCACCGTACTGGATAATGGGAGGAAATTAAGAATTCATCTCGGAGCATCTTTTTTAATTTTGCCTGAACTCAGACTGAGACATATTTACAACAAAGCTCTCCTGATCTCAAAGACAAAAATCCTGCACCAGTTCCTGGACCATACAAGAAGAAGCTGTGGCCTTTGTGCAGAGATCAGGTTTAAACTTGCATACAGCATCTGGAAACAAATTATGTTTTTAGCTAACAAAGGGCTAAAGATACCATTTAAAAGTGGTTCTTTGCTAATGTTATGTGCAGAGACAACACTGGCAGTCAGTTTCTCCAAGGGCCAAATGACAAACAGGGAATGGAGTGCAGGGCTGCAAAAACACACTGAACATGAATTTTGTATCTCAGCAAACCGCTGAGTGCACATTTTGTAAGAGTAGACTTTGCAGACATAATAATTGTTTTATTTATTTTAGGCTTAATTAGACTTCAGATTAGAAAAGTCTGGTTACACAGAATCAGCACGAATCATTTTAACCTACCAGTCATTTTAGCTTACAGCCCATAATAGTTTAGCAACAGGTCTGTGTCGTCGAAGAGGGGAAATCAATACAAGCACGTGTGTCCTCATCCATGTTTTATTGACATCATCTTTATTGGCGTTAAAATCCAGAGCCTGTATATAAGCCTGACAATAAGGATGGATGCATGTATAACCAACACGGGCTGGTGTAACGGAGGAAGTGTGCTCATGAGCGAGAAGATGCAGAAGCTGGATGAAAACTGGTTTTCTTTCTTTTTTAAACAAATATTTATTCAAATATATCGTTGATCGTCCGTGTTCAGCGTTAAGCACGGAGACCTGGATGCTGAGGGCTCAGGCTGTCATTTCCAGCGCGCGTGCCGCCCACAGGCTCTGCGTGTCTCGTGAGGAGTGCTGTCCTTTCTCTCCCCCCCACAGGTGTAAAACAGAAGCTGCTCGTGACGCTTTGCGCGGCAGATTCCTGCTCGTGTCCATCCCGCTGCAGTTTGTCAGGAAGGCACCACAAGTCACTCTTAACAATAATAGCCTCCGCCTAACACGACGACTGTCGCTATCGGAACAATATTACACCTACTTTAAAAAGGTTTCTTTACTTTATGAAACATACATTTCAGTGTTATGTGTCTCACTTATTTTATCCAAACATGAAATTATTAGATAAATGATTGTGTGACACGGGGAGAGGGGACAGGTAATCTGTGAACACTGACACGAGCAGAAACCAGGTGAGTCCTGATCCTGATGAGAATGAATCACAACCAGACTTTGTCTAACTTTGCAGGTGGAGGTTTGGGCAAGAGAGGGGTAATTGGTCCGGGTGAAGCAGCGTGGTGTCCAGGTGAGGTGATCCGAGAGTGGTGTGACGGGAGGGCAGGCAGGTGAGCGGATCCAGGATGACTGGGGGTGTAGAACACAGGGGTAACACTGCTGTGAGCAAACATCTATGACGGTCAGCACTAACTGTGGTTACTTGAAGACCCGGTGGAGAGTTTCCAGGTGGAAACCGTTATTCGGAGGTAAAACCCCGGACTCACCCGGACCATGACACCCTGCACCAGTAATTCCCATTTAACAGCTGATTAGGGAGAAATGTATTACTTAATAATAATAATTATTATTATTTTATAATAAGCGCGATATTTTAGCACAGTGAAATCCAGAGACTGTAGATTTCGCTGCTGAATCAGCCATAAACACGGCGGATGAGCTGGCAGGTGACTTTTATTTTGATATACAAATACCGGAAGTCCTTCCGTTCTCCGTTCCCGCGACTTTACTGCTCGGTTGGCTGAGTGACGTCTCTCACCGACCGGTGAAATACACCGACAAATCGACCGGACTGACCGCTTATCCGTCTTTGCTGGAACTCACGGCATCACGGACTGTCCCTCTCCTCTCCCCGGCCTGAAGGGCCGAGCCGCTGACACGGAGCGGTAGCGCTTCTCCGCAGGATGATGGATGTATCTCCGGTACTGACCGACGGACGCGCATCCCGGTGGACTCGGCGGACGGTCAGCGCACACTTTTGACCAGCTCAAAGAAGACTGACGCACCGGCTGTTTGCTCCTTCAGTTTTGATCCTTTCCCCCGGAATGTCATCATCAAGGAGCGAGTGAAGCATCTGCTCTCGCCGGGTGCCGCTGGACGTCCTTCTCCTCAAGGGTTTCTGGCGCTTTTAGCAAACGTTAGCACCGGTATGAGCGGAACCGCATCTGCCCGTCATATCTAACCGGGGTCGGAGGCTGCTAGCAGGGAAATATTTGGATCTGTGGATGAGATTGTGTACGGAGCGGAGGAGGACGGAGGAAGAGCAGCGGCAGCAGCGGAGAACCGAACATCCACCCTCATCCCCGGAGGGGGGCAGAAGCAGCGACGAGGCCACAGGACGATGTGAAGATGGGGGTAGTTTTCGGTCTCCTGTGGCTGTTTACCGGCTTCCTGCAGGGCGTGCACGGCCAGGGCGTGTACGGTAAGGACGTCATTAGCATACAATTCAAATATTTTGAGTTACCACATGCACGCGCACCTTACATGTTACGTGAATGCGATTTTGAGTGCACGCGAGCGGAGTATTACAAACAGCAACTTGACCTTGTGAGGGATTTGGCTCCTGTGCGTGTGCGTGCGTGGCTGGTTCGTGGTTCATTCAGTCACACTCGTGCCTGGCATAAAGGCACAACAGGTAGGCTGCTACACAAACACAGATAAGCACACCTGTGCATACAGGGACAGCCGCAGTGCTAATCCTGCATCGTGGCCCCAGCAGTGCCGTTATTAGATGGCACTGTGGGTTCGGTGTGTGCCGGTGGGTCTGTATGAAGCAGCCTGCAGCTCCGTGCAGCAGGAGATGGCGACACGATGCTGCTGCTGCTGCTTTCACTGTGTCAGTCCTGACATGACCGGGCACTGGAAATGACTGGAAATGCCGGTTCTTTTACTGGTATGCTGCTGGTTCGTTCCTGTAGTTACTGTAACACATGCCAGCTCCTGCACGGTGGCCATTCCTCTACTGTACATAAACCCCGATCTTCTCATTTTGCCTTACTTGCACATTTCAAATAATCTGGTGTAATCTGGTGTCATAACTGTGTCCTGCTATACTTTGGTCCTCCAGTAGAAATCAAGTTGCATGTACTATAATACTGTGTTGTTTTTCTGCTTATTTCTGTGTCGTGGCTCTTAGTAAATACAGTTAGTGCGTTACTGTAGACAGTGTGCTGGTGCTCAGGCATCTGCTGTTTCAGCCTCTTACTTTATAAATGCCCTTTTTACAAAACTGCATTTTCCAATGTCTATTTTATAATTTTATATTTGACTTTTACATTTTGCCCAATTCAAAGCATGTAATGGCCAACAGTTGTATTTTGATGGTTGTGCTAGGCTGCACCCTGAACAGCAGCATCGCTGACCTGCTTTTACAGCCAGGTAACCAGAGTTTAGTCCTACACTTTTCAGTGTTTGCTCATTTTATGAAATGAAATACTATGACAACATGTCAGTGCAGCCAGCCAGTCATAAGTGATAATACCCCACCACTGAGCTTATAGCCAGCAAGCTACTTTGATTTCAAATGTACAAGTCATCTCCATCTTTGTCTGACCACAGAAATTTAATACAATTTATTTATACAGCACCAAAATAAGCAGTCGCCTCAAGGTGCTTTGTATTGTAATGCAGACCCTACAATAACACAGAGAAAAACCCAACAATCATATGACCCCCTATGAGCAGCACTTTGGCGACAGTGGGAAGGAAAAACTCCCTTTTAACCTCCGGCAGAACCAGGCTCAGGGAGGGGCGGAGCCATCTGCCAGAGATTAATAACGTGTATGATTCAGCGCAGGCCACGGCCAGAGTGACCAGATCATTAGTTTAGCACATGTCCACATGTCAGAAACATGTTAGTCCTTGATATGTCTGTGTCGAGTCAAAGATCTCTGTGACATCAGTAGGTGTGTGGTGCTGTGTGTAAGTGCATGAGACATGCAGCAGGAGTGTGTGAGTGTGCTGCAGAGAAATACTAAAATGCAGCATGTGGAGGTCAGCGTGGACGCTCAGTGGACACTAGTGGATCCGTGTGTATTTACTTTTGTAAAAACACATGGCTGTGCTCAGCATAAAACACAACCATACCTTCAGAGCCTGAAAGCTGAAGCCCAGGTGGGCGCCCTTTAAAGCTCTTTTCTGTGGCCATCATTTATTTCCTGCAGAGGTTTATGGAAACTCGTCCTTGGTCTTGACCTCAGCAAACTCTTCTCTGAGGAGTTTTTGGGCCCACACACTCATTTTCTAACCCATTTTATAAATGTTGGTCATGGAGGATTAGCTGGTATGTTTACTGGCAGTGATTAGTGATTGACAGAGTGACATCACAAACCCGTGAGTTAGATTACAGTGTGAATGGTTGTCTCTGTGTTAGCCCTGTGACAGACTGGTGACCTGTCCAGGGTGCACCCTGCTCGCACCCTATGATAGCCCCCCCGCAACACTGACAAGGATAAGCTGAAGAGAACGCATGGGTGGATGCATGGGTGGATGCATGGATGGATGGATGGATGGATGCATGGATGGATGGATGGATAGATGGATGGATGCATGGATGGATGGATGCATGGGTGGATGCATGGATGGATGCATGGATGGATGCATGGGTGGATGCATGGGTGGATGCATGGATGGATGCATGGATGGATGCATGGGTGGATGCATGGATGGATGCATGGGTGGATGCATGATGGATGCATGGACATTACTTTTGTATTTTTCGGTGACCCTGTCTCTATAATTATCAGTAAACAATGCAGTTTTTTCCCATAGACTGTATAAACCAAGTGAAGCCTTCTCGTGCAGAGGTCTGTGTGAAACTCAGTCCCCTCTTACTTCAGTAAAAAGAAGATAAGATAAGATAAAGAACTTTATTGTCATTGTAGTTATACAACGGAATTTGTGTGGTAGCTCACAGAGGCCAGCAGCAATAAAACAAGAAGCAGCATAGTAACATAATAACCATAGTAAACGTAGTAACAGTATCAAATATAAAGTAAAAAGTATAAAGTCAAACAGTGTCATATAATATAACAGTATTTACAGTGTGGTAGTTGAGTGCAAGCATCAGTGCCCAGTAAATGACTGTACATTAGCAGCAGACACGACATATTGTTGTTGACTTCATCAGCTCGGTCACCAGACTCAGGCTGTTCAGAGTTCACCGTTCTTGTTGTTTCTCTGATAAATAATTGTCCATTATGCTGGGGTGAATATATCCCAGAATCAGAATCAGAATGGGTTTATTGCCAAATGTTGAGCAGGTTTACAACATTAGGAAATTGCTGCGATGCTTCAGTGCAAACATAGTGTCATAAATAGCACTTAAATAGACATGAAAAAATAAAAGTAGGAATAAGAATTAAAAGTGCTACGTGGAAAGATATGTGCATGAGATATACATGAGATATATACATGAGAATAAGAATTAAGAGTGCTACGTTGAAAGATATATACATGAGTGCAGGTGGTGATCAGTGCCAAACAAGGAATGATGCAGTGAACACAGCGTAGGGTCATGTGTTAGTGGTGGGAACAGTCATACGGTTATTGTTCATGTGTCCAACAGCAGAGGGGAAGAAACTTATGGCGAGAGGTTCTGGTGCGAATGGACCGGAGCCTCCTGCCTGAGGGGAGCAGGTCAAACAGACTGTGTCCAGGGTGAGAAGGGTCAGCTGAGATCCGAGCTGCACGCCGCAATGTCCTGGAGGTGTACAGGTCCTGCAAAGATGGGAGTCTGCAGCCAATCACCTTCTCAGCAGAGCGCACAACACGCTGCAGTCTCTGTTTGTCCCTGATAGTGGCTCCAGCGTACCACACGGTGATGGAGGAGGTGAGGATGGACTCGATGATTGCAGTGTAGAACTGCATCATCGTCCGTGTTGGCAGGTTGAATTTCTTCAGCTGCCTCAGGAAGTACATCCTCTGCTGGGCTTTCTTGATGACGGAGGTGATGGTGGGCTCCCACTTCAGGTCCTGGGTGATGGTGGTACCCAGGAAGCGGAATGAGTCCACAGAGGTGATGGGGGTGTCAGTCAGGATGATGGGGGGGAGTGGGGCTGTGTGCTTCCTGAAGTCCACAATAATCTCCACTGTCTTCTGGGCATTCAGCACCCAGATATCCAAACTAACCAAAGAAAGTCACATCATTCTGTTATCATTCCCTTTGGCTAACCTAAACTAATGGAATAGTTTAACACTGAGAAGTTCAGTTTGAGGACTGTTTCATGTAAAAAGCTGTGTAACCAATCACACTCATCCATCATGAACCTTTAAATGCTGCCTAACTGTGTGCATCATTAACATGTTACACCTCAAACACACAACAAAGAATAAAACAGAGGAAGGATTAAACTAATCTGTTGCTAAACATGATATGAAAACACATCATTACAGAAAGTGTTCTCAGGTTATTAAAGTTTGACAAATAACATCCGAAGAATCTCACCTGAGAAGTGTAAAGCGTTGTACTAGTTACAAGTCATAGTTACTAGTTACTTCTTCAAATAAGTAACTGAGTTAGTAACTGAGTTACAAGATTCTAAAAGTAATTAATTACTTGAAAAGTAACTATTGAGTTACTTTAAAAAAATGTTTAGCCCTCTGGGGTCCAGGGTATAATTGATTTCCCCAGTTCACCTTTAAAAAAGTGGTCGTCGGGCAGAAAGTGATCCCCGCCCGCGGGAGCGCGCAGCTGCTTAAAGCTGCAGCGCCCAGATTACTTACAGCTACTTCTGCAGCTGATGTAAGGTGCAGTCAGCTGAACACAGCTTCAGTCGTCTGTTTGTTGAAAAATAACGGTAACAGCGTTGTAACGATAGAAATAGTAATTAGTTAGATTACTCTTACTGAAAAAAGTACAAACGGTGGTGACGACCACACACATGAACAGGAGCGCTGCGGTCATCGTCCACGCTCACAGTGCTGGTGAATGTTTGAGCCGTGCAGCCACTGCTTCTTGTTTTGGCAGATAAATAATAAACTTATGAAAATATTCAATGACGATCAGTGGCATCAGATTTAGGAAATGTGTGACTGTGACATCGAGGCCTGTGGAAGAGATCGATCAGGCGTGTGACCTTTTCATGGGTGGGTTGCTGTTTTTAAGAGTTTTACAAACTGTTGTGCGTCAGCATCGCTGGTGTTGTCAGTGCCAGTATTGACATGACCGTGGGATAATATTATGATCAGATTTTGTTGTAATTGTAGATATCAGATGGTAGTTTCAGTAATCACCTGGAGCATCTGAAGAGGACGTACCTGTTTATCAGTGTGCTGACAGCAGACTGTTGAAAAACCTCACAACAAAAGAATGGTTGTTGTGCAGCAATTTTACTCATATCCAAGCAAACATGTGTGATGGTGTTGAGAGCACGATCGTGTGTCTGCTGCGTGTCGTCATAGATGCTGTGTAAAAGAGGCCAG